TTTTAGTTTTCACCAGATTCAGTCAACCTATCCTGTTTTTTTGTCAAGTCAAGTTTTAATTGACTAATACTCTGGGAATTTTAGTCTAGTTTCAGTCAATGGAAACTTCACATACGCCATGTTTTAGTCATGTTCAATAGTGGTTAAACAGATCATTATAATTATTTTGCTCAAAATTGTAATCATGATAACTGATAATGATTGCTGTAATTTGAGAAGTTTCATCAGAAATACTGTACTGCATTTTCTTCTATAAGCACAAAAACAATGTCAACTCATGCATATGGTTTATTTTACCTTATATAGTTGCCTTAAATTATCATATAAATTAACACACTCTGTACATTAGGAAAACTGTTAAAACTCAAAAGCTTTTTTTATATTACAACAACAATTATCCCACCGCTGCCAATGCTTGTGGGGAAGTCGTGGCCTAATGGTTAGAGAGTTGGACTCGTAACCCAAAGGTTGTGGGTTCGAGTCTCGTACCGGCAGGGATTGTAGGTGGGGGGAGTGAATGTACAGCGCTCTCTCCCACCTTCAATACCACGACTGAGGTGCCCTTGAGCAAGGCACCGAACCCCCAACTGCTCCCCGGGCGCCGCAGCAAAAAAATGGCTGCCCACTGCTCCGTGTGTGTGTTCACTGCTGTGTGTGTGCACTTTGGATGGGATAAATGCAGAGCACTAATTCCGAGTATGGGTCACCATACTTGGCCACATGTCACGTCACTTCACTTCAAAAACAACTTTGTATTGTACAGAGGCTGTTTAAGTGTTTGGATTTATTACAATTAGTAGAGTCAATGGTCATCAATTAATATTTTTCATCATAGTTTTCGTAAATGAAATTAACAATAGGTCCATAGCGTCAAAAAGTTTTAAAACACTTGTCCTGAAATGAGGCATTTAGTCTACTATTATAGCCCAATGTGCTGAGTCAACTGTATTCAAGTGAATACTACTGAATCTTTCTTTCAAGTCTAAAAAATAATAATTTATTGAAACCGACTCATTCTGAACTGCCATGGCTTTGTGAAGTCAGAAGAAAAAAATGGCCCATTTAAATCAAATTGCCAGAGAGAAGTTGGAAATGGTCATGTTTTGGCACAAAAATGTCCAGCTTTTTTGGAATGCAACAATGCATGCTTTGTGAACAACTCCTCACTGAGTCTGTGCTGTCGGCTCTTGATAAGAGTGGTCTGGTGACGCATGATGACTATCGTAGCAGCTGGCCTGTGTTGACTGCAAAATGAATTTAAAAAAAATATTACAATCTTGAAATGCTCCTGTGGCAGGAAAGCTGCTGAATACAGAAGTTATGGGTATGGGTCAGGGCACAATTAAATGATACTTTTTTTTATTGCATTATTTTTTCATACTTTTACTAATCAGCACAGACTTCTAAAATCAGCACAGGATGCTAGCATGTTACATCATGAAGCATGCCTATAGGAGAACTTACACAGATGTTTTGTCAGACAGATTCATACATATGGTCAGAGATGCTTTCAATCCTGAGCCTACAGCGACCAGCGAAGAGAGCAGAGAACCAGCTGAGACAGAGCATAAACAAAGCGAGAGAGAGAGCGAGAGAGAGAGAGCTTGTAGTATGAGAAAGAGGCAGAAATGAGGGACTGAGAGAATGTAGAGAGAACAGAGCGTGAGATCAAAGCAGAGAACACAGCACTGTTTTCATCATGTTTAGTCAGGGCAGTAACTGCAGCAGGTGACCAGCAGGGACCCAGCATGAATGCAGCTCATTAGTCACTCTACCCACAGTTTTAGGCCATGATCATGTCCATCAGCCCTGCCTTTAAAACATGACAGTGAGATTCATAGAGGAATTGATCTAATCATTCTTTGTTCCCAAAATATATATTTAAAAAAGGGTAAAAGCCACACTCTGAACTTCTATTACAAGTTGATTTTCAGTTCACATCATTCATCCTTTATCTAGTTTTAGTCATGTTTAAAATATGTACTGGGTGCTTTTGCCTCCAGAACTGCCTTAATTCTTCATGGCATGGATTCAACAAGGTGCTGGAAACATTCCTTAGAGATTTTGGTCCATGTTGACATGACAGCATCATGCGGTTGCTGCAGATTTGTCGCCTGCACATCCATGATGTGAATATCCCGTTCCACCACACTTCCAAACACACTCTATTAGATTGAGATCTGATGACTGTGGAGGCCATTTGAGTATAGAGAACTCATTGTCATGTTCAAGAAACCAGTTGACCTTGATTTGCCATGAAAACCATGATTTGAGCTTTGTGTCATGGCACGCTATCCTGCTGGAAGTAGCCATCACAAGAAGGGTTCACTGTGGTCATAAAGGGAGGGACATGGTCAGCAGCAATACTCAGAGAGGCCTTGGCATTTAAACAATGCTCAATTGGTACCGAAGTGTGCCAAGAAAATGTCCCCCACACCACCACCACCAGCCTGAGCCGTTGATACAAGGCAGGATGGATCCATGCTTGCATGTTGTTTAAGCCAAATGCCATTCACTGGATACTTTCTCTTTTTCGGTCCATTCTCTGTAAACACTAGAGATGGTTGTACATTAAAATCCCAGTAGATCAGCAGTTTCTGAAATACTCAAACCAGCACGTCTGGCATCAACCACAACCATGCCACATTCAAAATCTTAAATCACCTTTATTCCTCATTCAGATCGTCTTGACCATGCCTATATACCTAAATGCATTGGGCTGTTTCCATGTGATTGGATGTTTAGTTCTTGGCATTAACATGGAGTTGAAGAGATGTACTTTATAAAGTGGCCGGTGAGATATATATGAGTGAAATACAACAGCATAAGAAGATTAGACATCTACAGCTGTTCAATGTTTCATATTGAATAAATCACTGACGACAAATAAAAAAGAGGGATTTCCTTGCAAGCAGTGTAATAACGTATTGTAATGTGCTGGGAAACACTGAAAATTAGGTTTTGACTTGATGTGTATTATATTAGGACACCAACAGCTGCATTGTAAACACAAGCCTATGAATTTATGAATGGCCTTCAGGCATTTAACATTAAAAACAAAGCAGTTTTAATTCATTGATGCAATCTTAATTAACAAGGATGTCCCCAAGGCTAGTCTGTTACTTTAATTAATTTCCCAACATTATGAAAATGAACAATACAATAAAAGAGGTTAATTTTCTCCATTTCGTCTCTAAAAGGGTAGCACTTCTATTCCTAAAAGAAACTGTAAACACAATATTGTGCTAATTAAATTAGTTTGAGGGAGGTCAGCTATACTCGCACATATGGATTTGATAATAAACCGAGTGGATTTGGTCTGCATCTTTATTCATGATGGAGGGCATATCCACATTCAAATGAGAAATTTAGTTCAAAAGCAATGTTTCTGAAGAGAGGAACAAAAAGCCAATGCTGTCCTTTACTTAACAATTTAGGGCTTATTACTTATATCGTCTACACTTGAGAACAGCCTGTCGACAGCAATTTGGTGTTCTTTGTTTCCTTAACAAAAATAAATGTCATTCCGTGTGGGAATATCCTTTGAACAAATGTCTCCAAACTCTCTCTGACTCAATAAGCCCAATGTGTGCTTTGTCAACATGACAAATTGAGCTCATCTAGGTAACGACAAACAAACAAAAAAAATTTTTCCCCCTGGTAAATATCAACATTTTTGCAGAACAAATGCTTTAAAGGTGAATAGGCAGTTAGGCTCTTATATTTCATAAGGCGAACCATCATGACAACATATCTGATGGTGCTGTTTATTGCTTAGGGCAATGGATATAATTCTTCATGGCCTATTTGAAATGGAGTGAATATGAACTGCATGTACAGGCCCTAAAAACAACATATAGGCCTCCTAAAACTATTCAAAAATGGAACAGTAGTTTCCACCAGGATTATTATTGTTAACTAAACCTAAGACTTAATAATGAATGTTTTTAACTTTTTTTAAACATTACGATTTAAAAAAGAAAAGAAAAAAAAAGCACTAAAATAACAAAAGCTAAAAAATTATATAGA